GGCCACGTAAAACCAGAGTTATGATAAAATATAAGCAATGTTTGGTTTTCTTCCTGAATACTATCGTTGTTTATATTTACTGCGGGAAGAAACGGTAAGAACTGCGTTTTATAAGGAAAACGTTTGAAAGCACTCTCCGCCTGTGAGCAAAAACAAAACCAAAAAAACCCCACCCTTTCCTATTGGTCAAAAAATGTACCATGTAGACCGATCAAAAAGTGATATAGCAACATGGCATTTAGTTGTTTAGGAAGGGGGATGTTTTGGAGTGGCACAAATAATTTGTGTGGCATCAAATTTGATGCAGAACAGCTGATTGTTCTGTAAACAGTTTGAAATGTTTGTTTAAAAAACGCCTTGGCTGCATTTTTAGGTAAAGAGCTGCAAAAAAACTTTGTTTGCATAGCTCAGTAACTTTTTTTTGAAGAAGTAACTATATAATTAATTGCCCAGCATTGGTCTTTATATACTGTATTTTGCAGTCAGAGAGTTACAGGACTCGCTCCCAGACCACAGACTCATGCTCATAATACAAGTCAGAGCTTTATAATCTAAAAAAAAAAAAGAAAGTTGTGTTTTCAAAATTGGAGTTCAAGTTATTTTTCCTTCCAATAGTGTTAACATACTACACAGGTCATGAACAATTTTTTTTTTTTAATTTTCATTGTAAGTGGGCTAAAGCAGTTAATTAAACGTAGTCTAACATAAATGTAAATGCTGTAATTTGATTATTTTAATAAACCATGTAACATGGATGGATTCGATGCTGGTGTGACCACAGTGCACACGCCTGCTGTTGCTCACAGTGGTCCACGGGACCGCTCATGGAATTTGTGCGTTCGCTCAGACACATGAAAAATTAGAGGGAACATTGCACTTGATCATTGCAGAATAACAGTCAGTTAGAATTCAGAGAACTTCAGTTTGGCTTTAGCAGTCCTTCTTCTTGTACAAAGTAGAGGGTACCTGCTGAATGGTCATTGTTCTTCTATGGCCCTGTCATGAACCAAGCAGCCAGGAACACACAGGCACAAATGTAATCTTTAAAAAATGGGTTTTATTATACCCCAAAAGGACAAGATGATTACAAAAATTCAAAACTTTTAGTGATCCGAGCTGAAACAACCGGTTCTCTAAAAAGAGTTGGAAATCCCATCACTACAAACCATTATAACACACCATCTCCTAATATTTTCTCCACACTTTTGAGGCTGCACTGTTAGACACGGCAGATCTTCTTGTGACTGCCATTCAGGAGGAGCTGGACTGCCTATGCAACCTGAGTGAACTGCATGCACAATTCCACCAACAGTGAAAATCAGAAAAAATTCAATCAGGGAGGATAAAGAGAGCAATAAGTGGTTAACACGGAAAATGAAGACATTAAAAAAGTTTAACTGGTGTAACTTTCTTATACTGTGATGATCAAGTGGTTTTTAAACTGTGTTTTTAAGTTTGTCTTATTTTATTCTGTTTCCAGCTTTAAGCAAGACTTTTAACATTGAGAAACTTTTTAAATGAGTCTGAAGGAGACTTTGTTTTTTTAACACTAGTTCAGCAAGTTTTAATATTC